TCTTTCCTTTCTTCATACCCTTCATGATGATATCCTGCACTGAGGTCTAGAGGTATCCCAGCTGGATCATCAGAGCTTTGCCATGCCCAAGTGCAGCCCTGAGGCTGGGGATACCCCCTGCTGCCTGAAACAGGACTGAAAGACCCAGAGTTCACAGCTACATCTAAATAAAGTCACATAGAAGAAAGCGATGGGGGAAAGGCTGGGAGGAAAGGCTCAGAGATGAGTATTTTCTCCCCGTACCTATGCAGGGCTTATTTAATCTGTATTTGCACTTTCATTCACTTTCCCTAAATAGTGGACAATTTTGAAGAGCAAAGAGGGCCAGGAGTGCCCCTCTACTTCCCACCCAAGCAGGAGTGTGGGTGGGTGGGGAACTGCAGAAGGACAGAGTTCATCGTCTCAAAAATCCCATTTATACCCATACAAGAACAACCACAAAAGAGAGGCAATTAGGAGCATTTCTGCAAAACATGAACCATCGCTCTGGGGAGAAGGAGAAGTGACATGCAAGTGTATTAAAAACAAAAACACGCAGAGACACAAGGCCTTTCCCAGAACTGCGTACGTGGTTTCCTAAGTCAGATGCCTTCAGAAACGTGTTTTATACAATTCTCAGACTTGGAAAAATACTGATTTTTAATTTTTTTTTTAAAGGTCTTCTATGCATTATCATTATAGCAGAGTGCAGCCAAACACATATGTGCTTCTCTTCCACGTGCTGCTCCATGCAGCTATTTGTGATTCCAGAATTAAAAAGTAATTTTCAAGGAGTTTCAGGATTGCAGCAAATGCTTACGCAAGCCACAACTCACCCATCTTTAACTTTTCTGCTTTCCCTGAGCTATTTTTAGCTAGGGGTGCTCAAACAAAAGCTTTCTTGTGCTCCTGCCCTGCTTCCCTCTTGTCCTGTAACCCTTTTCTCATAATACCTCAGTAAAACCCAACAGGACCAGCACAAAATCAGCTTTAGATCCTCATGGCACCAGCAGCAGCAGCAAGAGCATGCCAAGGAAAGGAAGTCCTTGTTTCGCATCAAGCAGCTTTGCTCATCTCAGAAAAGCAGAATTTGAGAACATCTGATGATGTGAAGCAGAAGTGAAAATAGAGCCTGCAAACAGCTACACCCTCCCCCCGGTGGAAGGAGGGAAGCCACCCTTGCTGCGAGCAGGGCAGCCCCCCTCCATCCCTGAGACAAGGCACCAGTGCCACCTCCCGATCAACACAGGACCTCTGCAATGAGACTCAGTGTGCTCCTTCTCTGTCCCCTCAATGCAGAGGGCTTTGTGTGTCCCACCTACGCTGATCTACCCAGCACCAGCAAGAGAAGCTTCAGTCTAACTCCTGCTTGGGGATCTCAAAGCATCACAAGCCACTACATGCTCCAGGATAATGTAGGCAGTGCTGCTCTTACCTTGTCCGTGATGTCCTCTTCTGTACACTCCAGTGTATCCCGGTAAGGCTCCTCCATCACCCCCACAGACAGCGTGCTCGTCTGATGCAACTGTCTATAACAGAGACAAACCACCCCAACCCACAGCAACACGAACATTAGAGCGAACATCGCAGGTCATAGCAATTTCAGATGACAACCACTATTGCAGGATGCAGTCCCTTCTCTCCCCTCCGCAGCTGCCACCTCCTTTTCCAAGGGGATTTAATAGCACTGCTCCTTCTTGGGCTGCAGGACTTACAGCAGGGGATAGCATGGGCCAGGTCCTTCTTGTCACCAAGTTCACTGCCTTGGTGTGCTGGGCTAATGGGGCTGAGCCAGTGGCTGCTTACGGGCTGAGCAAATGCACCCTGTGAGGGGAGCGCAGACGTGGACTCATGCTGCTGGGACTTCATACTATGATCATTTGTACTTGCTCTTTGGAATGGGTAGAGATAAGAGCTCGCTTTTCACTTTCTTTATGAACCTACCAAGGCTGTATGTTATCCAGCAAAGGACAGAGTACTCTGCTCCAGCCACTGATAAGGTTAATAAGAAGTGGAGGGGCAGTGGGTGTAAGAGGTAGGAGAGGAGAAAAACTCCTGAACCTGTTGTGAAACACCCCAGCCCACCTCCTCACACTGCTGTGACAGCTGAGAGCGAGCTAATCATTAGCAAGGCCTTGCGACACTGGTGTCCACAGCTTTACGGTGATCTAGAGGACACCCTGCAGAGGGGCTGATCTGTGTCCATTCCTTGTGTTATTGGTGCAGATTAGCTCCATCGTCTCGTGGCTCGAGAAACTGCCATCGCCACAGGGAGGGGTAGTTGTGCTCCAGCTCTGAACACCAAGCAGATGCTGCCTGGAAAAAACCCCTCTGCTCTCCCACTGCAACTCAAGTGATGAGCAGCCTGATCATGAAGCCAGCGCTGCTTGGAGCAGGAAATGAACGAGAAAACCAAAGAGGTCTCTCTGAACCTCAGTCTTCCTTGGAGTTTGTAATGTGGGCTCTCAAATTCACCCTGCTACACAATATGCTCATGCAAATATTCATGAAGCAACACTGGCATTTACCAAAGAGACCACAGCTGAGAACCAGTCTTATTTTGCATCCTCACCCTGAGTATATATTTAGATTCTACAGTCTCGGGCACATTTGTCATTTAAATCATGCCAAGCACAACAGGGCCTAAGCAGCTGAGGTTTCTTGGCACAAAGCAGAACCTGGATAACAAAAAAAAAAAATCAGGAAAGAGCCCTTACCAAAATAAAATCAATTTCCTAAGAGCAAATGTTTTATTATTACTCAGTAATTACAGTATCTGCAACAAAGGGCTTTCTTTGGGTTGATCTTAAGGATCTGGCTCTTCACTGCAGAAAACCCGTTATCTCTGTCATTATCAAACATTAAACTTGACTGCTCTTGAATTAACCAATATTCACCTAAGCCCACAAGTCCCAGTCTCAGAAAAGCATCCTGCAAATGCAAAGGGCCAAGAGGGTTTGATCCCCCATAAGACAGGGAATCTCCATTCCTCAAAATTTAACTTAAATCCTCCCCAAACTTGCTCTGCCAGACATGGAACAAGAACTAGTCCTAAAACAGGAAACCTGGGGACAGGCTGCTCCCTTCAACTTTCTTTCCTGCCAGTGTTTTTAACAAAGATCTGGAAAGTAAGATGACCGGAACTAGGAAATGTAATATCAAGGACCTGCTTCCTTGCCAGGAGAGGAAATTGTGCCAGGGGAGACTTGCTGACTGCAGGAAACATGGAGAAGGGAAAGGTGTGAGAGCACAGCCGGGAGGGAAAGGCGCAGAGAAGCTGCTCCAGTCAGTGCAGGGAGCAGTGAGGTATGAGCATCACTCAAATTGAGCTGCCTATTCCTCTGCAGCAACCCTGCCCTGCTTGCAATCAAGCAAAGAGAAAGCAAAGAGTGATCTCAACCCTCTTGAGCATGGCAGAAGCAGGCAGGACAGCCAGGATAAGCCTCAGCATACTCTTAAAAGCACAGGGGAAGGGGAGGGATGGCGAAGTTGGAAAAGGGAAGCTGAGCAGGTTTCATTGAGAGGGGATGGACACTCCACCCAGCGATTAAGGATTCAGAGCAAACCCTGCAGCTTTTCTTGTGCAGGCAGGGCTAAAAACGTGCACAAGGAAACACTGGCACTACATGAGACAGTCCCACAGGACAGAAGCACCACAGCTTTAAACCCCAGGGTGGGGTTACCTGGAGTCACCCACCGGGAACTCCCCAGAGCCCCTGACCTGCCACATCTGAGCAGGGAGGGCTGCTCCAGCAGTCAAGCACTGAGGATTACGCTGAGCAAAGTAAAACAGGATCAGGAGAGCTGTCTAAGGTGGTTGCCTTTTTTGGGTGCTGGAGAAACTCCTCCAAGTGGGTGCACTGACTGGTCCAGTCTTCTAAAGACCCTGGAGACCCAGTATGGTAACACTGGGGAGGAGACAGCCCAGCCACGCAGTCCCGGGGGACGTGTCCTTCTAGAGACTCCTTCCCAGTGCACAAGTGAGAAATCTCCATTTTGGAAAAACTGCTACTGCAAACTATCTCAGAATTAAACCCACTTTTCCCCAGCGCTATGCAACACATCCCAAACTATGACACTGCAAACTTATTTTGGCAGCCTTCCCTCCGTGGGCCCAGCAGTGAGTACAGGCACCCCTCTCACCCCGTTTATAGAAGTATGAGCTTACCTTGCCACCTTCTTGCTTGAGAGGCGTTTATTTGGACTGCAAAATGAAGGAAACGCAGGAAAGAGTTAGGGAAGCTGACAGTGAAGAGCAAGGGAAACAGGAAACTGCAAGCACTCTGGGGCACATCCTTTGCTATGGCAGGGGAGCGCCCATGGCATGCAGCACCCGTGCAGCCCAGCCATCCCTGGTGAAAGGCAGGCGAAGAAACTGCTCACGTATCTAACAGCACAGTGACAAGGAACCAAATGGAGTAACGCCACAGAAAACTTCACTGCCTCTAGCAACAGTGTCCTCTCACCGGCTGATCCCTGTCCTGAAAGCTGATCCCCAAGGAAAGGGCTAATAATAGTGGTGAGTTTGGTGAGGTTCAGCCCGGTGCCGACAGCAGCCCAAGCTACCTCTCCTGCATCCCAAGCTGCACCTCCTGCACCCCGCAGCACACCAGCCCTCCCTGCCAGCTGCCTGGGGGACAGGGAGCACCTCCTGCATGCAGATGGGCACTTCCATCCTCCTGCACGCTGGTTTGTGCTTCTCACAAAGATTATTCTCACAAATGGGCTCTAGATCACCAGAGAATCGCTGCCTACATGTAGCTCAGAGATTTTAGGAGCTGTTGATCATGGTCCTTTCTGGGTTTTAAGCACAGGCACTGTTGCTGGGGATGGGTGTGAGCTGTCCTTTGCACAAATGACTGGCGGACATCACAGTCCTGCTCCATATATGCCTGAGCCAGCTGCCACCATACCACAGCGGTCAGGGTTTCGCTCCTGCTTAGCGTGACCCACAGCACAAACAGCCAAGGTCTGTGTTACCCTGTCCCTGCTCCTCAGGATGGGGCTGCAGAATCTACCCGCTGAGAAAAAAAGAGCTTTTTCAGAAACAGCTACTTGCTAAGATGCTCTTTGCAGTGCTTTGGTTGTGACTGATGCAACTGCAAGCTAGTGAAATGAGCGGGGCTTGGATCTCACTCCTCATCTTCCACCCAAACACATGCTGCTGTCGAACAGATGCTGCTGGGACACATCGCTGATACCACATCATCACTGAACGGTGGCAGCAAACACGGCTCCAGCCTGAGCGGAGAAGCAGCAATCACATTCTCTGGTGCTTAGTTCAGTTTAAAGAAAAAAACCCAACAAATAAAATAATCTGAGAGTCCATTCCTGCCTAGAGCTGCAACAATTGCATTATTTCTTCGAAGGAGGAATTAAAAATAGCTCAGGACAATTTTTTTTTTTAAAAAAGCAATGACTACCAGGGGCTGTTGTCAGGGTTACCAGCCCTCATGTCAAAAGTGCATCCTCAAACCCCAGATTTCCAAGGAGCGCAAGAGCCGCTGCTGGCCAGGCTTCAAGGATGCTCACACCCGCCCTGGGGGAGGTCAGGCCCTGGTGTTTGCCAGCGCTTGTCACGAGTCACGTCTGTCCCCAGCACCGGAGAGAGAAAAAATATTTCCTCTGCAAACAGCTTTTTGGAAAGCAGTGCCAGCAGCTGGAGGGGATGAGACCACCACTGCTCCAAGGGCACTAAAATAAAGCGTCCTTCTACAGAACTGCTTCATCCCAAGCTCCTGGTGGACTTTTCTCTGCCTTCCCATGCCGTGGGCTCACGCAGCAGTGCCCTGGTGCTGGGTCAGGCTCCCCACCTCATTCTGAGCGTAAAACGCTGCACATACATCCACAATCTTTAAGAGTGAGGCTGTAACATGGCGGCTTGGGCTTCACCCCAGCTGTTGGCAACTTCTGGAGCGTGTGTCTTCAGGCTCGCCTGCCAGGCATAGTGTGAGGTTGCTTGGCCCAGATTTTGGTCCAGTTTCTACCACTCTCTTTGCCTACTTGTCCCTTTCACATTGCTGGTGATGCTGGGAGCAAACAGGTCCTGCCACATCCCATGTGCTGCACGGGGACACCTCTCACATCCTCACCACAGAAAGGGTGGGTGATGCCCCTTCCATGGGGTTGGTGCACAGGGGCACTTGGAACAAGTTTCCAGCAGATTTGTGCACAGGAAACTCTGAACACAGGTGGAGGAACCAAACCTACTCACTCTGAGCCCAAAGGGGCTTTTGAATTCCCACCAGGACACCATGGGATGGGGAAACCTCCGCTGGAAATCCCATCCATCATGGGAGGCTTAGAAGCATTAGCTCAGCTTTCCAGGTAAATTTGGAGAAAGCCTGAAATGGAGTGGGGCTGCTGGTACATGTATGGGAGTCCAGTGTTGTTCTTAATAACTGCATAACCTGAGACTCATCATCGACCCTCAAGGCCTCCAAATGCAAATACAACTATTTGCTTGAGGAAGACAGAGAAAGAGAGGTACTTTTTCCACTAAAAACTTAAGGTCAAGCTCCTATTTGTTTTCCAGTTCTCTTCCCATAGCTATATAGCCCAGGAGAGCTCTCATGTCACACTGTCCCTGTAGAGGATGGACAGAGACCAAGAGCATGACCAAAACCTGGCTTGAAATAGCACACCAGATGTGAGCAGAATGATTAGCATTAATACTGCCATCCTTCCACCCAGTGGACTGCAAACAGGCCTGAAAAAATAAACAAACAAATAGAAATCCCTCCCCGCTTGACAAATCAGCAAATCCAGCTGCTGGCTGGTAGACCCCAAACGTTACATCCAAAACCTCATGAAGTTCCTATGCAAAGGCCCCAGCATTTATCACATCTGCCGGGTGAGTGGTGGCCCAGAGGTGGGCAGGCAGCTGGCAAAGCCGGGCGAAACATGATTTTATTGCTGCAAAGCAAGCATCTATGGGAGAGGTTTCAAGCCACCAAGAGCAAGCTGATGTTTCCAGGTTACCACTGCAGTGGGAGGACGGGCTGTACCTGCCCTGCCAGGTTGAACCATTCTTGGCCAGAAGACCTAGCAGTCTTGTCCTTGGTGACAGAAATACTGTACGCAATCAGCTTATGGCTTCCAGTCCCAGTGCAAGGACCACAATATTCAGGGCATGGAGAGGCACCCACAACTCAGCAGGACATGCAGACTGCCCAGAGCAGAAGGGAAGACTCTCATTGTCTACCAGCCCCCGTGGCTCAGATTAAAGGAAACTTCTGCTCACCCTCCATAACGTTATTACAGCCTTTACCACCTGAAGAGGCTCACCTCAGTTAATGAAATTCATCCCCTTTCGAAACCAGGAATCAAGCAACGCAGCAGCAAAGGAAAGCTGTGCAGCACAAGGAAAGTCTTCCCTTCCAGAACATCATTCCCAACAGTGAAATGGCCACACACAAGCCGAATTACCTATTCATTTCAAGATCATTCAGACGAGCAGAAAGATCCTCAAGGCGGTTGATTTGTTTGTGGCACTGGCTACAGTAAAACTCAAATGCTTCATCTGCGATAATGCTGTGCAGTTTCGCAGCAAGCGGATTGGTGCTAGAGAAATCACAAGGGTCATTTCAACAGGACAGAACAGATGGGGCTGATTTTCCTCCGTGGCTTCCACAAGCTGAGCATACGTTGGGGCAGGGGAGCTTTTGGTGTGAGCTTTTTGTGTAAGACTCGCATTAAAAATCTTCAGAGCAGACTGGGTCACCTCCCCCCTTGATTTTAGAAGCCAAATCACAGTCAATACGGAGTTGCTATAAATTACCAGGATTTCCATCACTCTCCTCCCAGAGACTTACTGAGCTTGGCTTTACGTTTTCAAACTCTGTGCCAGGCTGCTCTTGTGAGGGACCCCCAGAGAGCCCAGGGAAGGTGAGGTGCATGCTCTTACTACAAAGTTTATTTTCTGACATGATTTCCCAAGCAACCTGTCTCAGGAGGCTCTAGCAATGGTCCTGGTTTGCCTTGGTAAATGCAGACCAAAGTCACACACTGCTGGACTGAGCGCCGTGAAAGAGAACCAAATCTTTTGGTCGGTCGCATCATTTTCCAATGGGATGCTTTAAAAATATGAGCAGCTGTCCTTGTACACCATTAGTAATGCAGAGTCATATTTTCATTGCAAAGAGGTCCCCATGGAAGCTAGGCTCAAAAATGTGGTTGTGATTCAACTGCTGTCACCTACGAAGTGAGGCACACAAAAGCTGAAGCAGCAGCTTTGCCCCGTTGTAGGGAACATAATTTCACCAGGGGACATGGGGGTCTACAGGACTTTAACAGCCTGGGGAGCTAATGGGTCCAATCAGCATTTCATTTTTGGCTGCTGACGTGAAAAACAAGCTGCCGAGGCATTCACTGACACTTGGCAAACCAGGGAGCCATTTCCCCACCTGATGTGACCTGGGCAGGACAGAGTTAGGCCAAGGAATACCGAACGGCAAAGAGCTTTTGTGACTTTGGGGCCAAACGTACATCACAAATCCTTTCTGCAGGGAAATATGCTTCTGGAAGCCACGGACTTTAATCAAAGAAAGGTTAATAGTGAAAAAATCAAAGCAGTTCAATAAGAAAGACAGGTAAAGGTGTGAGCATACACAAGCAAGCTTAAAACCAAAAGGCATCTGGAAAGGGCTACTCAATCCTGTGACACAGATCCACACTGGCAAGTCCTGACCCGGGAGATGCTGAGGGCCTGGAACACCCCAGGAGGGGTCCCCTGGCTCAGCACCTCTGCATAACCCCTCACTGATGTTTTCGGTGGCTTGGGGAGTCAGCAGCCCAGCCATCCCCAGGGTCAGGCCTCTTAGTTTGTGCTGTCTGTACAGTATTTCCGAGCCCCCTTAGAACAGTCAACTGAATGACAGTAAATGCCAAATTACTTATTTCTTCCCATTCCTGGAAAAAAAAAGAAAAAGGAAAACATTCAAAATGTAGGGCAGGTTTGGACCCAGGATAATCAATATCCGTCAGCAGTCAGATCAGTCGCTCAGGCTCTGTGTAGAGTAAGAGGCGACAGAAGCTTGGTGGCACCTGGAAGAAGCACCATGCCCTTTTCGGGGCTCTGCCCCCGCACTGAGCTGGACAAAACTGGGAAAAGAAGTGTAGAGGAGAACCCACAGGCCAGCCTGGCAGCTCTTCAGGTACGAGCAGATACACCTGGCCTCTGGCCGTGTTGGTTGCTTGCCTGTTAAGTGGGTGAGAGCTCAACCGCACTGCACCCCGGGGCGTCCCCACCTACCCCTCGTGGCAAGCTGCCACCTCCTGCACCATGTGCAGCCTCCTCCCTGCCTCCTCCCTCCATCTCAGGGAGTAACATTCGTCTTCCACAGCCCATCGGCAGCAGAACGGGTGTGTGTGAGGAGATTTTTGCTTCAGTTGCCGCTCATTTCCCACTAAGCGTTGCAGAGACTTCTCCTCCTGGATGGATGTGCCAGGGAAGAGGAGGCAACCCAAAACGAGAGATCGCAAACACGCCCAAAGGACTAAGCAGGAAAATGCAATACCCCATCGTGTTCCCTGAAGACTCTTGGGTTTTGTATTAGTCCTCTGGTGAAGATCTGGAGCTGTGGCAGGAAAATTTGTCAACATTATTCCCATTTAGAGACTCTTCTCAGATGGAAAGGATGCATGGCAATGTGACCGCTTACAAGTGATACTGTTTCTTGTATTCAAACCACAGCCAAAAAAAAAAGAGTTGAGCCTGAACCAGTGGATATCATGTAGTACTTTAAGGTTTCACTACATTTAAATGCACTGGGGCGGTAGAGCTTTGTTCAGAAAACCAGCACAGTCTCAGAGACTGATCAGCTAAGGACCTTAACACACACAACAATAATTCAAGGTAAGGGCAAGACCTGAAAGGCATGAGGAAATCCTCTGTTTCAAACAGAGCCACATTCTTTACTCTGGAGGTTTTGCAGAGTGTATCTGCAGCCTGCACCCCAGCAAGCCCCAGCAGTGAAGTCTCCAGCATAAACCACCACGAGCTGCGTGGCCACGTGCCGAGTGAAGCCCTCCCGGCAGAGAAAGATGCTGCAGAGCACGATCTCCTGAATAGGCGATAGAGCAGCAGAGGGGTGCCCTGACAGAGCAAGATTTGAACACTGACTGTACGCAGCCTGGGAGCTCCAGACTATTACTAAAGAAAAGGTTTAACTGATTGCAGAGCTCCTTTAGCTGAATACTTTCTTGCCAGGAGCCTTCTGGACTAGGTTGGAGGTCCACCCTCAAGGAGAAACTCAAAACAAACACCAAGGCTGGTTTTTATCAGAGCACACTTCTGCAGCACCAGCAGAGACAGCCATACACTGCATTTCTCTGCAGAGCAATCAAAGGATAAGCGTGGATGAGTGTCACATTTCCTTCCACCACAGGGTACCCCACCACATCAAGTGCTGGAGCACTGGTTTCCTAAAGTAATGGATCAGGCATGTTTAACAGCAACACTCTCCTACTGCAGGTGTAGTTAACATCTTCAAAATTGCTGCTGCACCAGCAAAGAAGAAAGTCAGCCCTGAGCTGCAGCAAAGTGCAGGTGTGGAGATTTGACAGCAGTTCTTCCCTGCCAGCCCTGTGCAACCAGAATTGACCCAACTCTGTGAAGCATGTGTGAAGTTTGGGAAGCTGGTGGAAAAGGGGCAGACAGAAAAAAAAAAAAGCTTATACTGCTACAGAAAGTCACAAACACGTATCATTCCAAAGAGAAAAAGTACGTTCTTGTCTTCAACACAAGCCTGTGCCTGGCAGGGACCACTCCTGCCTTGCAGAGATGCACTGCCTGATGGAGGAACATGTCCCTCTGTCATCACAGAGGTTTTGTGGGCTGCAGAAGTGGATGAGTATTCCAGCTTTTACTTGTTTTTCCTTAGAAAGTTAAGTAGTGACGGGTTTTGTACCATCATACCAGTTTGTCAGTTTACTATGCAGGGGCTGCAAAACCAACAGTGGGCTGGTTTTGGACCCTAATGCAAGGAGTGCAGGAAAACACTACAGGCTGCTTCTTGCTCCACATATCCCTCTGGCTGCCTAGAGAAGGAAGGCATCACATCAAAGCCAAAAATACAAGCACAAGGGAGGAAAAAAAAAAGTGTCATCCAATAGGACTTGATATAAAGCTGCACGGTGGTTTTCTGTACTGGAAAGCTCTGCGAGGAGTCGCATGCCTAACAGGAGTGGGAATGGGATGCTGTTCTGGACACATGTGAAATGCAGAGTGCTCTTCCACCTGCTGCTGGGCATCAGTGCTTCTGGATGGGAGGATGGGCACTGTTCAGGAAAAGGAAAGACTGAGGGAGGCAACTCCTCTTCCACTTCCAAGCCAATTATCCCATTGTATCCAAAGTTTGCCAGGAGACCCCTCTTGCAGGCCCACTAGCGTGCAAACCCAAAGGAAACAACTCTCCTACACACAAAGCCTAGGCAAAGACACTAAGAAACTGGTTAAAACGTGGCCGGTACTGTGCTGAGCATTACCTGGGAGAGAGGAATGAGGAGCTGTTAAAGCTGCTCTCCCCATTACACAAGCTGTCCGAGAACAAATCTGCTTCATTCCCTTCTCCGTAATCCTCAAAATGCTCCTCTCCGCTAATGACCGTAACGATGGAGTGGCTGAGGTCCGAGCCCAGGGGCAGGTCGTGCGGATGGGATCTGCAGAAGCAGAGAAGATGATGTTAGAAGTTGGCCACCACAGCAGCCTTCCCAATTGCACACAGTACATCTTTCCAAGTCACAACCCTGATTTTGGCAGCCCAGGCTAGCTCTTCCTCGCAGTGCAATTCACCACCTTCAGCAGCAAAGGGGAACCCAAGCAGCACAGGGAACTTTGCTGCAATATTTTCACAACAAACATGTTTTTTTTTTTTACACAAGCTCCTCTGGCAGCTGCAACACAGGATCCGGGAGTAGGATTTGCAGGACGGGACCCAGGGTTGGTGGAAAGCCCTTGCACGGCACGGCTGCAACCAAAGGCAGGGCAGAGAAAAAACGCTTGGCATGCCCCAAACGCACCCTAAATGTTTTGAGCTACACTGTCAGCCTATGTGCTGGGCTCAAACTCCATTACTGCTGTATAATCCTATAAAGAGCCCAGCACCAGGGTTTAACACTGCAAACTCCCCTGCCAACACAAATCCTGGCGATTTACAGGCAGCTGCCAGACCCGGCAGTGACAGACTCCCCACAAGACAAAGCAGCCCTTGCCCTGCTCCTGCTGGGAAAACACTGTACGTGCTCGTGACAATCTTGGAGGGGAAAATGCTGTTTCGAGTGTTTTTAACACTGGATCCAGGAGGCTGTAGTGTGTTAAGTCAGCCTGAACACACATAGCACAGGTCCTGGGATGTCCCTCAGCTCAGCACAGAAGTCATTATTTCTGTAAAAGTCTTTTCACATGTGCAGCGCTGTATGAAATCAAGCCCCCACAGCAGTATGTGCCCACTCCCAGAAGACTTTCCTGCCCAGCACTGCAAGGGTTTTAAAATTAAGATGGGAGGGAAAAGGCAGAGGGGATTTGTAAGAACCAGGCTGTGAAAGCAGCCCATGTGTCTATGAGCCACTGGTATGTGTTCTGGGGGGACTAACACCACCCTCCTCTCCAAAATCCAATGTTAAAAAAAAAGAAAATTTAAAAGTTGCATTATTATAAAACCTGATATTTCAGGCTATGCCCCCATCTTCATTCACTTGCTAGAAGAGGGAAAATGGAAGTACAGCTAGATGGCTGTACTTAATCAGAAAGAAAAAAAGATTACAGATAAGCCATTTAGGTCAAAAACCTGCACCATCTGAAGGATTTGCCCTTATCCTGTTAATAAAAAACATGTCAACCCTCCAGCAAAAACAGCAGCAAATCTCTTCTTTAGCTGTGCACAAGTCCAGTCCAGCTCGTGGGCATCTACACATCCTCCTCGGGAAGCGTGATTATTCCTGCAGCGGGATCCGACAGAAACCCATCCTCCCCGGCGGTGAGTCAGGTGCTGCACCCAGCAGACCACTGCCGAAAGCATCGGAAATTTCTCCAGGAATAGAAAGCAGGGGGTGGAATTTTTAACTTGCAAGCAAAAACCAACCCCAAATCTCTAAATCTGGGGCTGTGGTTTGATAAGCACCATACAGAAGCAGATCTGAGCTGGCACTTGGAAACCCTCAGCCAGGGATGTTTCAAGCAATAAACAGCACGAGTATTTCGTATATACCTCTTGGGGCTCTAGGAGTTTAAAGATCCAGAGTCCAACTAATCTTTACTACACACAGCCTAAATAAACACTTAAGCTCAAACCATCTACGGTAGGTTGAGCTTTAGCAGCTACTGAAGAGCAGTGTTGAAGCTCTGATTGTACTTACTGACTGTCCCCTGGAAGAGCTCCGGGCACTAGAGGTGTGAAAGTGTTGTCCTGCCTGGGGTTTGATGACACCAAAACCAGCCCTCAACAATTTGGGAACAGACTTCCAGAGGTTTGTGTCTCAAGTCTTCCGAATCTTTAAGCTGAATGAACTTTTTCCTTTATTTTTTGGCTACCTGGAACATCTAACACACCTGGCAACAGGCACCACTGCACTTGGACAGAGCACCCAAAGGACACCCAACCTTCCCAAGCCCACACTGGGAGCAGCAAGGAAGCCTCAAGAATAACCTTGCCTTCAAAAAATTCCCAAGCAAAATATTTTGTACCTACAGGCAGGTGAATCCGAGGCACGTCATTTTCCCCAGCAGACGAGAGCGCACACAGGCTGCCATGGCCCCTCCAGAAACCCTCCTCGGTGGTTGGGGAACTCAGCAACTGATTATATCCCGATTTAACTGTTGCTGAGCTGAATGCGCTCGGGTGAGGAGAGCCCAGCCTGCTAATCTCATTTCTCCCCTAATCCCCAGCACCCTTTCAGTCCCAGTGCTGAGCACTCAGCAGCACTGACTGCTCACTGCGTCTATGACATGCCCAGAATTTTGTGATTCTGGGGCAGGAGGGAAGCCTGGTGCTTTCTAAAAGCAACAGGAACTGTAAGTACTCACCAGAGCACCAAGCCTGGGTGGTGTGTTTTTGGCTAAAAAAGTTCTGTGCATTAGCAGGCCTTAAGCGGTGACAGTTCCTGAGGTTTCAGCACCGAGCAGTGCTCTCGGGTGACTATTAAAGGACTTATTCCCTCCCTTCTTGCTTGCCAGCATTTCAGTTTCACCCCAAAAACCAAATTTTCCTGCAAAATCTAGGAAATTAGGTGGGCCTGGGAGCGGTTTTGCCAGCAGCAATTCAGACACGGGGCAAAGATCTTAGCTCATGCTTCTGTGCTTCAGGCACAAGTTTCAAACCAGTTATTACAGGAGGTGGTTGCACATCAAAGGGAGTACACATGTGTAGGAAAAACAAGAATACGATGAGCTCCCCTCCTGACTTGAAAATTATATGTTGTGTTTCTGGCTTAAGTGATAGATTAAAAACTGCAAGTATTTCAGGTGTTTGGATCATCTGAGAACTTATTTTAGAGGTTAAAGATGCTAATGAGGGTACAGAGGTTCTCCCAAGGCAAGCAACGATTAACTCAAAGAGATTGCCAGGCCAAGCTCCAAAACAGCCTACACATGGTGCAGCCTAATTATTATCATTATTCTTAAAAAAGAGCTATTTTGGTCTTGCATGAAGTTACACAGACAAAGAACAAACCAGTTTCAGCAAGACAGACTCAGCCCACTTGATTTTAAATCCTCAGGCTACGTCTCCTTCAGTTCTCATCTGCTTCCAGCTTGCCAGAGCTTCCTGCCTCATGCAATGAGTTTCACTCCTCGCCATTCCCACTCACCCATGCTCGGGCTCCTCGATGGGATCTGTGAACTCCGAGTGCACAGTGGAGTCGATGGCACTGTCTGTTTCTACTTCGTCGTGCATCTCGTGATGTACGAGTGTGCTGGTGTCTTCATCCGTGAAGGTTTCGCACTCGCTGTACGTGCTCTCTGAGCCCATGTAAGCGCTGTCAGTCACCTCATTTGCCTGTTAAAAAACACAAGGGGGAAAATATAAGACAATACAGCAATGTGGTGGTTTGATTGCAGAGCAGGACAAAACATGTATGGGGCAGCTAATTGCTGCACTGCATTTCTAAGCACAGAAATCCAACCTCCTAAAACCACTGTGAGCTGGACCCCACGTCCAGGTGCTCCTCTGTCTTGAGAGCCAAGGACCGAGTGCTGCCCGGAGTGCACAATGGCCTTTCGGCTGCGCATGCTTTGCAACAGCAGCATTTGGAAAATAGATTACAGAAATATATACTAAATAAGAGTTGGAAGGGGATTTTGTTGTGAGCAAGTATGGATTTGTCGAGTCCAGGAGGGATTACCCACTGCTTAGCCAGAGGTTCTGATCACCACTCCTTTCACCCACTCCATTTTAAGAGGACACATTATTATGCTGAATTTTCTGCAAAAACCACCATTCAAAACTACCCACTGGTCCTTAAAGTACTTTTTCTCTCCATCTAGTAATACAGGGGCACCTTCCATTCCTCAACAAAAAATAAGATGGTTTATAAATCCTCATTACAGTGTCTAATTTGCAGGGACTGCATCAGCAGGACACTCAAATCTCCGCACTTCAGCTGGAATAGCATCTCCAATATTTTGCACTACTTCACCACATCCATCACCTGCAGCAGGCTCTAGGAACGAAGCATGATTTGGTTTTTAGGATATCACGCTATGTGCATGGAAGACTGGGTTTTCCCCCTAGTTCTGTCCTCAGACAGAGGATCATGTTTTTTCCTGCCTGTACATGTGGGCAGGGATGGTCCTCCCTGGACAGAGATGGTGCTGAGCCCAGAACCAACCCCATGTTTGGCAGAGAGCCATGGGAGCATTAGGAGAAACACCCTCCTAAAGCAAAAGCTCTCGTTATCCATCAAAGTGCCAGCTCATTTTCCAGTGTTTATGGGATTTCCCTGCATCTCGGAACAAATAAAATAATTTTTGGCTCTGGGATCATAATCATGGTGAGATCTGTCAGTGCTGGCGCTGAGCTCCAGCTGATCCCCTGTTACCGGAGGTGTCGGGCAGAGGGACAGGAGCCCTTCTGCCTGGACTCAGGAGAAGATGCTCAGGAAAAGTCATTTGGTCCATCTGAATTTCACCCAGCGGGATCCAACCTGCTCAGCTGTGGGCTGCACCCCCTCCATCCAGGCAGCAGGGCAGCGCAGCAGCATTTTGAACGCAGGCACCAACACTGAAGCAAACCTCTCTTCCTCTGCCAGAGAGCACACAGAGCAGCTTTCAGTGCTTTTTCCAAGGCTTTTTGGGAAAATGAGATTTTTGAAAGCCCTGTATTACAGCAGCTGGGAAGAAAATACACAGACATACCATCCTTGCAACAGCAGAATGAAAAATTCAAAGCAGAGTAAGTATATGTATTTGTCACGCAGGAGAGCACCAGACCAAGAGAGGCAAATGTCCCGCTGCCCAGACTTTGCAATGGGTGCTCTCACTGGCCCAATTCTCCTATTTTGGGTAAACACTTCGCAGCCCAAAGAACTTCTGCAGCTTTCACTGGAGCAAAGCAGCTCAAGACACAGCCAACATCTCATTTTGTTTCACTCACAAATTCCCAGGCTGCCCCAACAGGCGTGAGGCCAAAAAGGGACAGCAAGAACTTGTACAGGTGCTCTGAAACCCTCAAAAGGATGGATGGAGAACTGCTCAACAGCGGTTCCTGTTCTACGCACACAATGGGGAGCAAAGGGACCAAGTCAACACCCTGGCTTTGCTCCCTGCTGAGTGCTCTCATCAGCCCCTCTGCCAAGTGAGCATATGCTGCTGGGTGATGGATGGAGACAGACAGACAGAGAGGAACCCCTCCTGGAAGCTTGGCTCAGCGTTCATAGACCCATGCTGACTTATGGACACCACCCTGAAGTTAAACATGACATAAAATGACAATGACATGAGTCTGAAGTCAACACTGGGAGAAGATGGGGCTGTTCAAATGAACTCAATTCAAACAGAGGAGAGGCTGCTGCAGTGAACATTATCCCTAGCACGAGAGAAGGTGACTTTCACTAGCCTTCCGGATAAAAACAAAAGCCCCCCAAACCCCCGCCCACTTTAAAAAGCATAAATCCAGCAAGACTACTTATATACCTAAAGCTGGGGACTCGCTTAAGTGCTTTACCGGATTTAGGCTGCACTTCCTAGAAACACCACTCAGGCTCTTAATGCTCAAGCAGGAGGAGGATGAGGGAGATGTGGAAGCGGAGGCCTGGTCTGCCAGCTTGTGCACAGACGAGGACATCGCACGTCCCCGAGGCAAGTCCAGCAGCTCTTCAGCCTCCAGAGGAAGGGGTGCTGCAATTCGAGTGCTTTCCCAAGCTATTTGCAGTATACACCAAGTTTACGAGAGGCCAGACTTCAGCATACCGGATAAGGTTGTGTTGAAAGATTGGTTACATTTTGCTTTGGGGGAAAAAAGACCCTATCTCCTCAAAATAAATCCAAAACTGGAAATAATTTTGCTTGTAGACTTCTAAGTAAATGCTGCTGGTCGTGCTTTTTTGGGTTTTGTTTTGTTTTGTTTTTTTAAAATACAACTAAAAACCCTCCCTGCTGGAAAAGCTTAAATTTAAGTATACACTGAAATATTATAATGAGCACAAAGTAAAGACAACTATTGCAAACAAACAAACAAACAAACACGAAAAGAAAGACAGACTCCAACCCACAAGTAATTTGATTAAAAATCGCCCTGTTGTGGTTACCATTGCTGACCTTCTTGACATGAGACATAACCATAAGCTGAGCAGCTCACATCAGTGTCCTCTGTGCAATGATTTGTTGATTAAATTGTTACAACGCATCTTATGGATGGGGAATACTGGCATGGAGAGGCTGAATGAGGAAGCAGCCCTTCAGAGGTAAAAGTAGCCACCAGAACAGCACATGAACCATCCTTCTTCAGCCACACCGAGGATGTGCAACGATTTATTTACTTTAAAAAAGATGACCTGTAACACATTTTGCAAACTTTGTTTTTATTTAACAAAGGAGATTTTGGTTTTTCGTTGTAATACTAGCCTAGATGAGATTTCAAATGCAAGAGCCCTATTAAAATTAAATCTACTTGGTCAATGAGTTAAGAGGCAGCTGAAACTGTAAACGAAGTCCTCCTGTGCACAAGCGTGGAGAACTTTGCTTTGCATTTCATCACAGATTAAGTAACTAAACCTCAAGAAAAGATGCAGGAAGGAGATAGGAAAACCAAGGGGCCTTGGGTAAGATATTACCAAATGCCCTATAAAGCAAAGTAAACCCCAACCAAGCCCCTGTGCCCTGGGCAAAGGTCCAGCCGCAGGCCGCAGAATGCTCTTTTTTATGGCCTCGTGAGCAGCTGGTTTGTGCAGCGACCCTTCAAGCTGCCGCACATCTTGTTCAGCCAGGTTTGCCATTCTGTGAGCAGGCAGAAAGAAACTTTTTCCAGATTAAAAAAAAAGAACCCGCAATATACTTAAAGACATCTGTGGGCTTGGGACAGCCAGGCGAGACTGCAAGTGCCCAGGGAACTTGCCAGGAGCGTCCCCACCATGTTCAGAACAAGGTGGTGTCACCACTATCGGTGTATTTTATGTTTTTATCAAATAAAACATATCTTTAGATGCTTCAGGTAAACCTCAGACCTTAGAACTGGGACCCAGGCACACTCACAGCCCCTGCACTGAAATGGGACCATGTTTCCACTGGAGTTCCCATCCCTAATCCCAACCCCTCCATGAGGCATTTCCCTGGGTCCCAGACCTGTTTGCCCTGGCTGAGCAGGACATCAGCCATCTGGGCACATCTTGGTGTGCTCAAAGGTGTTCAGCAAAATGCTGGGGATTTGAAAGCCCAGCAGTGAGCCCTCCTGCTTCTAAAAGGACATTAATAGCTGAAATCACCATTGGGGTGATGTATTACAGAATATTAGGAGTTGGAAGGGACCTCAAAAGATCATCCAGTCCAACCCCCCTGCCAGAGCAGGATCACCCAGACCAGGTCACACAGGACCGCGTCCAGGCATGTTTTGAATGTCTCCAGAGAAGGAGCCTCCACAGCCTCTCTGGGCAGCCTGGGCCATGCTCTGTCACCCTCGCAGTAAAAAAGCTTTTCCTTATGTTCAGATTGAACCTCCTATTGTGTCCTGATAAAACCGGTGAGACGATGAGACACCCTTAGGAGACTTTTCCAGCAGCAGGACCTCTAAGATCATCAAGTTCAACCATCAACCCAATACCACCATGCTCAATAAACCATGTCCCAAAACCATTACACACTGGAGTAAAGATTATTTGATTAAATACTGTCAAGTGCTATGAAAACTACATTCATTAAAAAAAAGTCACTTGAGTATGAGGAGAGGAACCAAAAGGAGTCACCTGCAAGGTCTACAAGGGCAAGGACAAGGACAAGTTAAGCTCTGATCTGTGAAGGACAGAGGCTTTAGCCCAAGCTTTGGCAAGGCGTTGCCTTGGAGAAAAGAGCAAAGTCTTGGCTCTCAGGGAAGTTCCTCCCAGGCATTTTCTGCAGGGCTGGTTTCCCGCTTGTGCCCGGAGCCGTCTCGGCATCCCAAAGCTCTGCTGTCCTTGGCCACAACACTCGGAAGCTCTGGAAGGGAAGCGGGGGGAGACGAAAAGGAAAAACAACTCTTTTTTCCCAGCAAGCACAAGCCTGTCTATGCTGAATGCCAGCTCTGACTGCACACAGGACAGGTGGGGAGATAGACTGGCTACAAAAAACACCCTCCAAGGACACCCTCGCCTGCGACTGCAGTCAGGGCCCTGGTGCCAGCGCCTGGCTGGGAACACAGCCCTGTCTGGAGCCGAGCCTGGAGACCCGCACACCACGGCTGCGGGACAGGCTCTGTCTGAAAAGAGACGAGAGGAAAAGTATCCCACCTCTTGGGTGCAACATCCCACAGCACAGAGATAGCCCGGCACAGCTAATGGTGCTGCGGCATCCACCTGCCGGGACACGCAC